GCCATCAGATATTATCGAGGACCATGGCTGGAAAAACTTTGCCACCTCCACAAAGAAGTCCATGAACCACACGATACAAACGAAGGAATTCACTGAGAAAAAAAGGGGAAGGAAAAGAAAAGAAAAAGATTGATTACCATGTCGCATTGAGCTGAAATGAAGGTTATTTCAACTTATTTGGTTAACAATTATTATTCAACGAGCTTTCTTTTCAGGGATGAAAGGCCGGGCCCAAATCTTTCTAAACCGTTATCCAGATCATGGCACCTTTCTGCTCATGCTTACCGAACACCTCCCTATTAAGTGCCACCCAGCTTAGGGGTATCTTTCCATAAGTCGTACTATACATTTTTTATCTATTTATACTTCATTCATTTATCTGACTATCTATTTATCTACTTTTCTCAGTATAAACATTGAAATCTATCAATTACAAAGGACATTTTTAGTAATCTGAACGAAAAACAAACGCGTATGGCGTTTTTTACCGGTTTTGAGTTTAAACTTTGCGTACTGTACAAACTTACAGATTCTCTTTATTTTCTGAAAAGTGCTTGATGGTCGAAATATGACAGTGATCTAAACTACACAAATCCGGCGATAACTTGGTTGCCTCTCTTCGACCTTTCAGTTTTAGAACTTGAAACCGTTATCTCATTTTAACAAATAACTTTCAACAGAATTATCCTGCCTTTTGAAGCAAACTTTATCGAAGAATTTACGTCGATACTTGATGAAAATGAAAACGATATTTGACTTTACGATTTTGTGATCATTACACCGGTAAACAGATGGGACGTACAGTCTCAGCATTGCTCAAATACACAACGGCAGAAATCCACCTAGAGACTGATCAAGGAGGATCTCACTGCACGAGATTCAGATTTAAGACCCATTGCCTCAACTGCAACTCTCGCGGTTTACTTCTATAACATCACCACGATCAATGCAGACAATTTTTGTAACTGTGACGTGCTAAGCTCTTTTCTTACCTTAACAGAGGAGTAAGTAAAGTCCATTGTACCATAGTGTTGGTGAGACCCTGAGCATAATTCCACGCTTGCGCAGTTTGAATTTCCTCAGGTATCCAGTGTGAAAGAAGTACACACCCTTTATTCCACTCCTGGATAATCGAGGTGTCCCGAGGGTGGTCCTGTTCAAACGGACCACAGTTGCCGCAAGGACAGCATTCGTTTAGTCGTTCTTCAATTGAAATAATAGCAATAATTTTTTTTTAAAATGCTTTCCTGCCTTTTAATTCCAAAATCTGAAATTTTGGTTATGTGCCTCAGTCCAGCTCTAATGGGTACATAAAATGATAAATTAGTAATTCTCTAAAATAGAATTAGGAGAATTGTGTAAACACAATATTGGAGAATTGATAGGTTGACACTACAGCCCACAACTCATTAAATACTGTTGACACTGGTCTGTCGGTTTCCTGCCTCGGTATATAATTGTTTGTTTCTTTTTTTCTTAAAGTCTCTGGTCAAATACTGTTGGCGTTTAGTTCTAAGATCGCTAACCTCTGTCGCTAGAGTTATTAAGAAATAATCTGGTGGCTTGAATCTATTTTCCAAATATAATAGAGGTACCACCCTTAAAAATTTCTTGCTAAAGTTTCACGAATAAGGATTCGCATATTCTCCGTTAGTCTCGTGTCCAACACAAGTTACACTGTGTCGGTGGCCTGATGGGTGATGCTTTCCTATCTTTCCAACACGGGAGCCACAATCGTTCTTGAGAGTAACTTCCCCTCGTTTATCAGTTTACTCAGTTTTCATGGCCTCATCTCCGCGCATACGTTTACAAAAGAAAATAGTTCTAATTCCGAGAATACAGATATGGCCACCAAAGTTTAACTGTTTTTAAAAGTAAACGATATGGCTGCTGTGATGTCAAACAGTAAACACTGCGGTAGTTGTATCATCTACTCCCTAAAACAGCGTCACGTTCTCTGTTTGTATTCTGGTCGCTTGTGGATGTATCACTGAACGCAAAGTTGAACCCGTTCGGTGAGTCGATGCTCGAAAACTTTGTACTTAAGTATCAGAGTACATCTTTCGTTTCAGAAATGACAATATGTGTAAAAATCGAAAATTCTTGTTATCAGCTCTCAAGCTCTTTCCAAAATAGCTCAGCCATAAAAAATTACCACGGTAAAAGTACATTCACACAAGTAACGGAATGTCTAAGACCCTCACTTGATATCAGAAATGAACCTAGTTTGGGTTCCGCTCACCATCGAGTTTTCTGCAGCTCTGTGGCATAGCATTCGATGGTTAAGATCGACGGTAAAGACAGTTGGATTCCTCGTGGGGCGAGACACAGAATTTGTCTTTGTCTCACGCTCGTGTAAAAACGAACAGTAACTTAATTTCACTTCGAAACAGTTTAAGAAAATTAACTGAATGCGCCACCTTTTAATAATTTTTAAAAGCTGTAACTACACCTCAGGTGACTCTGAGCTTCCATGCAACCATACCTTAAGTCTCAGTTCTTTGCAAGGACCCGCTCAATGGCATTAACGGGCAGGGGTTAGCACCGGCGACGAACGTAACGAAGCTTTTTTTCTGCCAGTTCAATCGCAAAGTTTGTTTCTGTGTACACGCATGCAACAAGTTACTATAAAAAAAATCTTCTCCTAAAAGACATTTTCATTAATCCTTTCAGCAACTCGTGTATGACCAGTATACTTGGTACATTTCGTATCAAGTCGTACTTTTACTTTGGTTCAATTCTGCGCCGCAGACGAATGGAAATGGACAGATCACAAGTGAGACTTGACGTCGTGTAAAGATAGGGGAATCCCCGAAATTACACACAAAATCATTTGCATAATGAAATGTCGATTTGAAAGTCACGCAATCGTTTGTTTACCGTTCGTTCTCAATCATTAAGGGAACAATACAGGGCATTTTCAGGTTATACATCTTTTGGCATTCTTGTACACTCTTTGAAATAGAACTTCTTATTAATAACTCGCTGAAAACAACGACCACT